CGGGTCTCTGGACTGTGAGTACCGTAAAACTCGGCACCGATTTGTCGACTGTGTGTCCGATTCGTACCGATTCCGGGGGAATAAATTTGCTGAAGTGTCCGATCGCGTAAAATGAGGGCTGTTTGTATGCCTCCCCCTTAGTCGGGTCTATGTTGATGGCACCCCCGTATCCCTTCTTATCGTTCCACCTTGGTCCACCACTCATGTCCAGCGCCATATTCCAATCCACCCAACCCCTCACGAACTCATTCAGAGCCTATAAATATACACAACAATTATTGACATGATTTAGAGTCAAGAATATTCTGTACAATAAAGAAAAGTATTCAAAGCCTACATAAATTATACATAACTAATCACATAGATCATCTACTTATTTAGATTGAATCAAACAGACACACACACACATATACATACCCTGATGATATCCGAGGCATAGTTTTCACCGGCACTCCACAGCCCTAAATCGGGTCCCTCAAGATGACAGGCCTCTGTGCTTAATAGAAACATATCGGTGTAGTTCTCCTGTATTTCCGTCGGGAATCCGTCCGGATATCCACCGTAATGGTGATATGCGATGCCAGACACGTATTTCGCTGTCTCCCTGTCCTCCAGTACCGTCGGTACGAACTTTTCGAAAACGCTGAGATTGTCGTCGAATACCATTAGATTGAGTTTGTCTTTGCCATACCCGGCCTTCGCGAGGGTCGGACCCAAATTGAGTTTCACGTTGGTCTACTATTTCGGAACCCCTGCCATTGAAATACTATTGTATTTAACGTTCGCAAAGGACACCACTTTCTATGCCCGGTTCGCCACAGCATTCATATTTACGGTGGTATTTGGTGTCGTATTTTTGCTGAACCTGATGTGTACCTGGGTCAGTACTAATGCTCATAAATCTCGGAAAATGTTGTACCAGTTTATTATAGACAATAAAATGCCTGTAAATAGGCGGTTGAAAATTATGGCTTTCATTGAGCACTTGTGTGGACCCGATATTGGTTTGTATTGTTTGGATTTGTTTCCAATGAATAATTACGAGTTTTATCTCTATGTGTCGGGAGTTATGATGAACTATATACTTATTTTAAATATGTTGTAATTTAATTGTATAATATGTTTATTGGTATCTAATAAATATGGGAATTAAATTGTAAAACTATCCACTTTATAAGTTATGAAACGTACTTATAGTATATATTAACAATTATAAAATAATTTATCCCTAGTATTGTACAAATCTTTTTTGTAATGTTTGAATAAATAATGGTTACTAGTAATATTGTGATAATTTCTTAAAATAAATATTTTATAAATTATAATTAAATATCTAATAATAAAATAAGCTTTCATAATGATTAATGAATACTTCACAGTATAATATTGGGTAAACATAAATTAAAATATATGTTTTGGCTAAATGGCGTTTACTGTATATAAAACTAAAATAATTGTGCATATTTTTTATAAAAGTTTTATATACAGTAAACGCTATATTTAGCAAAAACATTTTTGTTTTTGATTTATGTTTACAAATATAAATGATTTTATTTTTGTATTTGTAGGTCATAAAATATTGATTTTGACTTTAAATCACTGTAGAAAAATATATTAAGGCAACAACATTATCACTTTGTATCAATCATAGCAACCATTTCAATAGGCAGTCAAATGTATAGTATTTATTATTTAATATAATTCATTGTATATTAAACAAAATCAACGGTTAAAGTGTGTTTCATTCAATAATTCAATAAAAATGTGTGAAAATACTATGAATATCAAGGAAATGAGCAAAAATCTTAAAATTACTTTTCTAATGAATATTAGCGACCAAACACTTGTCGTCAATCGTATCGAAAGGTTTCTTAAAAATTATTTAATTTTCTCATCAAATTTCGACGATTATATGCAACGAAATCAGTTGACAAACAGATATAAAGTGCAGATTTTTGCTAGATTTGTGTTACTACTGGTGGGCATCAGGTTTGCCGTCTCAGCCATTGTTAACAAGCAATATATGAGGGCTATTATGAGTGACTCCAACTATATTCTCGGCAACCCTTTCGCCGTTTCCTCAATGATGTCCATCAGTGCGTTCGTCATACTATTCATCGGTATTACCATTGATTACAATGAGAGACATTTTAGAGTACCTACCGTAGCACTCCTATACTACTTGAAACACAAACGACTGGCCCTACCATTGTCTCACAATCATCACAAGAGACTTGTATTGCATTCAAACCTATTGTCCAAATACTTTATGTCACAAGCGTTTTGGCCATTAATTGTTGTCACAAACGTTATCCTATTGTGGGCTACAGTTATGGCTTATATGGAGCCAAATTCCGGGTTCACTATAATGTCGGCCCTATTCTGGAGTATATGTAACATATTGTGGACCATCCAGTTCTATGGTATGGTAAATGTATCCCTCATACTCTGGTTTATGGTCACAACGTATTTGAAATATAAATTCAAAGAAATTAATGATGAAATCAAGTGGTGTTTACGACATAATAATAGTCAACATCTTATGCAAGCCATACATAAACACAATCTATTGGAGAGAATCACATATGAATTCAATGAGTACTTTAAGTACATCATGTTTTTGGTCTATTATTTCGGAACCCCTGCCATTGAAATACTATTGTATTTAACATTTGCAAAGGACACCACTTTTTATTCCCGTTTTGTCACTGTTTTTATATTTACGCTGGTGTTTGGTATCGTATTTCTACTGAACCTGATGTGTACCTGGGTCAGTAGTAATGCCCATAAATCTCGGAAAATGTTGTACCAGTTTATTATAGACAATAAAATGTCTGTTAATAAGCGGTTGGAAATGATGGCATTCATTGAGCACTTGTGTGGACCTGATATTGGTTTGTATTGTTTGGATTTGTTTCCAATGAATAATTACGAGTTTTATCTTTATGTGACCGGTGTTATGTTTAATTATATGCTTATTTTGAAAGTGTTTCAATAAAATAGATTGTAGTTATTTGATAAATGTAAAGTATTAAATGATTTATTGTTAAAATCATTTTTGTACTGGTTGAATAAATACTTTGCTACTAATCTTGCGAGAACTTCTTAATGTAAATGTTTTATAAATAAATATCTAATAATAAAATATTTGCAAATAATATTTCGTAATGAATTATAATTAATGATTAATGAATACTTGTTAAAATAAATGAGCTTATTTGTTTAGATGATAAAATATTGATTTGACTGTAAATCAACATTATCAATTGAATCAATCATAGCTACCATTTCAATAGGCAGTCAAATCTATTTGTTATTTAATTAATATACAGTACTGTATATAAAATATCAAAAGTTTTCAGTCAATAATGAAAATGTTTGAAAATATGAATATCAGGCAAATGAGCAAAAATTTCAAAATTAATTTTTTGGTCAAGAATTATCTCAACAAGTAACAATTTATTGAATATTTTAAATCTTAAAACAAATATATAGTATTTAAGTTCAAATATAAAAATAAAATTGATTTTAATTTAGGAAGCAATTTAATTAAATAATTTACGTTTTATGTTAATGTACTGTATTTACTTTTAATAATTTGTTCAAAATTTATTACATTCTTGTTTATAATATTATTTACGTTATTTATGACTATTTCAAAATTTATTAATAAATAATTTATTTATTCATATTAATTAAATGGTTGATATGTTATAAATCTATAATTTCTATTAACTAATCATTCAACCACCATGATTAGTTTAATGTTATTTACATTATTTATAATACTGTGGTTGGCTCTATTATTATGGGCAACCACGAATCACATACGAATTATATATTTGAATGGCCATGCTACCAATGGTTTTCTCCATGAATTATCACTTATTCGCATTTATAACCGAATAGTGAACAATTACCAAAACGAAAGTAACGTTGTCGACAAAATTAAGCAAGATTATCTTACAAACAATGCCCCCCTAATATGTACGCTAAATGTCGATTCGTTAAATGGTGTGCGCGTATTATGCCAAATGGGCGTGTTCATTGTAATGAGATGTCAACTATGTTCGTTTATTTCAAAACTACTAATGTACAAATGTACTTATCAAATATTTTAAATAGGTTATAAATAGTTGCCGGTATATTATATTGTATTTATTCAGTGCTGTTTAATTGTTAAGGTTTGATTAAAGTACTTTTCTAGATAGTTAATTACGTTAAAACGAACCAGGTAAAATGAGCAATCATAGACAAGCACATGTAGTGTGGAAATAATAATTTTATCAAATGTAATCATGTACTCACCGAGGGGATCTCAATATAATAAATTTAACAAATATTTAAAATATAAAATATTATATTATAATGTATTGATTATGTGCACATTAATTGTCAAGGTTTAAGTGAAATCCTATTCTAAATTGTTAAGAACGTTAAAACGATTATAAAGTTTTATCAAACATGCAGTTACCGGGAACCTGGTTCAAATACAGTTACAATCACCTGAACATTACTTTATAATGCTTATAATCGATAAGGCATATCAAAACATTTGACAATAGCATTAAGAGTTGATTTGAAAAATATTTCACATAATTGTGTTTGAAATATAGTTATCGATAAAACCAAATCATATAAATAGTAAAGTGTTTTGTTTATATACCGTTTATGTAGGTTAAGTATTATATATAACGAATATGTATAAAATATTTAGTGTTTTACTCGTTATAACCTTTTTCGCTATAAACGGTATTTCTGAGAAAATTATTTTCATTTTAATTGCAATTTTATTTTGAGAGTATATATCATTGATTTTAAATACAAACAGTCGGCGCTCGACGGGAATGTATTGTAAGAAAAGTGAAGGACGCGGACACAGTCTGTGTCTGTAACCAAACATATTGTGATGACTTCCCGGCCCTCAAGCGCCCAAAGAGTGGTTTCCTAACGGTTTATGAGAGCAATAAAGCCGGAGAAAG